ATCACTGGGACACTGGGTTTGCTGGGATTACTGGGACACTGCTGGGATTACTGGGACACTGCTGGGATCACTGGGACACTGGGTTTGCTGGGATTTCTGGTGTTGAGGCTCCAGCCCACATGTTGACAAAGGGCTGAGGGGCCTGAAGGAATGAAACCAGGTTACCCCTCTGTCCTTCATAGTATTGCTGGGGCAGATCCCCCCCTCCAGGGCTTCTGGGGGGACAAATTCCTTCAGGAAAGGAAAGAGCAGATCGCAGCTGTGCCCCTTCCCTGCCTCTGCCAGCAAAGGAGCGTCACCCGAAATCACCTGAGCATCCATGACAATGGCCCTGCTGCCCCCGGTGCCACAGGCACCTTCTCCTGATCAACGAGACCAAAGCATCTCCCATGGAAGGACGAGATTTTGGGGTTTCGTGATTGTGACTGATTCTTAACCACCAGAAGAGGGAGGTTCTTCCACGGGAGGGACATTCCTGGCTGCAGCAGCGTCTCCTGCACCATCCAACCCCCGGAGAGGGGAACCAGCATCCCTCTTTTATCTAAAATCCAAAGGGAGGCAGTAAACAGCCTTTTGAGCAGGGTCCCCATCCTCTCCAGCCCTGGGGCTGAGCCAGGCTGGAAATGGGGAACGGGGACCTCATCCCTTTTCCTGAGGGAGAAGCTGGGGGAGGGGAATCCACATCCCACTGGAAGCAGTCCTGGAATGGGCGCTCTGGGCTGGGCTGTGGGGCAGGTTCCTCCAGGACTCAGCCAGCACAGGGAGCAGGGATCCCTGCTCTGCCCGGGCTGAAACCTCCTCCCGGGATGAGCTCCCACCTGCGGCCTGGGGACGCTCGGGAGCTCTGCACTGATGGATCTTTTCTCCCTGCTCATTATGGAAGCACCTTTCTTTCCCAAAATGCAGCAGCAGAGGTCAAAACCCCAACAGAAACACAGGACGGAAAGGCAGAGAGCAAGCTCAGTGAGAGCTTGGATCAGCTCAAATCTTTAATTAGAAAAATAGACACAAATCTGAAATATTCCTGATAGAGGCCTTTTCTTTTTACAAACATAATAATAATAATAATAATAATAATAATAATAATAATAATAATAATAATAATAATAATAATAATAATAATAAGGAAATGAAATCACCTTTCCTAGGGCCTGTTAGCACCGGTTGCCAGAGCCTGGTGGGGTCTCTCTCCCTGGGGAGAAAGGACGGGAGCAGCCGCGGCCGGACAATCTCCAGGCAGGAAGATCCTGCGGAGCGCTGGTTTGGGAAATCTCGGCCGGGCGCTCCGGGTGTCCGCAGCCCCAGCCGGGCGGCGTTTGCTGTCCGTACAGGGCTCTCCATCCCCTCCTGCAGCGGGAGCCGGGGGTGGCTCGGTCCCCGCGGCTCCGCTCCGGGGCCACCCCGCGCCGTCCCCGCCGGGAGCGGCCCGGCCCCGGCACCGCCCCGGGGCCCCCGCTCTCTCCTCCGGGGCCCCGGCACCGCCCCGGGGCTCCGCCGCTCTCTCCTCCGGGGCCCCGCCGCTCTCTCCTCCGGGGCCCCGGGAGCGCCCCGGGGCTCCGCCGTTCTCTCCTCCGGGGCCCCGCCGTTCTCTCTCCTCCGGGGCTCCGCCGCTCTCTCCTCCGGGGCCCCGGCACCGCCCCGGGGCTCCGCCGCTCTCTCCTCCGGGGCCCCCGCTCTCTCCTCCGGGGCCCCCGCTCTCTCCTCCGGGGCCCGGCACCGCTCCGGGGCTCCGCCGCTCTCTCCTCCGGGGCTCCGGGAGCGCCCCGGGGCTCCGCCGCTCTCTCCTCCGGGGCTCCGCCGCTCTCTCCTCCGGGGCCCCGCCGTTCTCTCTCCTCCGGGGCCCCGCCGCTCTCTCCTCCGGGGCCCCGCCGCTCTCTCCTCCGGGCCCCGGGGCGCACCGCCCCCCGGCTCTCCCCTGAGACCCGGGGCCCTCGGGCAGCGGCGCCCGGCAGCGCTCAGGCCCAGCGGGGCTTCAGAGGGTGCCGAAGGAGAGCCCCACCGAGAAGAAGCCCAGGCCCTTGAGCTTCTCCTCGGTCCGGGCTTTCTGCTTCAGGTGCACCTTGCTGTGGCGCTTCTTCTCGTCGGAGCGGGCGAAGCGGCGGCCGCAGGTGTCGCAGGAGAAGGGCTTCTCGCCCGTGTGGGTGCGGATGTGCGTGGTGAGGTGGTCGCTGCGGCTGAAGTTGCGCAGGCAGATGCGGCACTGGAAGGGCTTGTGGCCCGTGTGGATGCGCAGGTGCCGGTTGAGCTCGTCGGAGCGGGCGAAGCTGCGGATGCAGTTCTCCACCGGGCAGGCGAACGCCTTCTCGTGGGGCTTGGGGCAGAAGCACTTGGAGGAGCACTTGCCGCGCCGCGTCTTCTTCCTGGGCTCGGCCGGCGCGGGAGGGGCGCCGGGCAGCAGCGCGGGCAGCGAGGAGGGCGTGGGGTGGCCCAGAAAGTCCGTGGGGGGCACGGAGGGCGAGGGGTGAGGATGCAGGAGCTCGGCGGAGCCCATCAGGCCCGGCAGGACCTCGGCCTGCGCCAGGGAGGCGTCGAAGTCCGGCAATAAGGGCGCGGGGAGGCTGTGCATCTTGCCGTCGGCGAAGTCCCCGCGGGCGGGGAAGTTCTCCGGCTCGCAGCCGAAGCCCAGATGGGCTCCGAAGCAGGCGGCCTCCTCTGCCAGGCCGCCGAGCTCCGGCTGGCAGCTGCCGGACAAGACGCTCTCCATCTTGGAGCCCAGCGGGTGGAACAGCCCCTGGCCGCCCTCGGCGGCCGCGAAGCCTTCGGCAGGGTGGAAGGCAGCGGGCAGGTAGGCCTGGTGCTGCTGGGAGACGGGCTCCCACGGGGCGCAGGCGGCTTTGAACTTGTCCAGCGGCGGCGAGCCCGAGGACAGCTTGACGTCCTGCTTGCCGTCCAGCAGCTTGGGCTGGAAGAAGCACTGGGAGGCGTTTCCCAGCGCGGGCTGCGCCGGCGGGGGCTGAGCGCCCTCGGCCGCGGGGAAGGCGCCGTAGCCCGGCTCCGGGAACGGGGCCGGGCTGGATCCGCTCAGCTCGGCCTGGCACGACGAGTACAGGTCCAGCTGGCTCTGAGCCACCTCGGGACACGGGTAAAGAGCGTCCAGGTGCCTCTGGTGGCCCTCGGGGGAGGCGAAGGGGGAGATGCCCAGGATCCCCGACATCAGGTTGAAGAGGGATTCCTGGTCCTGCGGGTGCTCCGGTACCGCCTTGATGAAGAAGCTGCCGGTGTAGCTGAGGGAAGGGGAGGGCTGGCTGCCCAGCAGGGAGTAATCCACGGCCCCGCCGCTGCCGGGGACGCCCAGCAGCTCACCTGGGAAACGGAGGAGACGCTGGTGAGAGGGCTGGAGGGATGCGGGGCCGGGGGCGGGATGCAGGGAGCAGCGGCAGCTGTTGCGTCACCGCGAGGTCTCCGTCCCTGAAACCGCCCAGGGAGCCCTGGGATTCGGCCCCCTCCCCCTGCGGGACCCTCAGGACCCCCGCCCTGAGCCAGCGGGGACTGCTGAACGCCCAGGCCGGGGCTGAGGGCGGAGGAGGGGAAGGTTCCCGATTCCTGGATGCAGCGATCATTCCCAGCGGGGTCCCTCATCCCTGCCCGGCTCCCGCCCGCCCTTACCTCCAAGGAAATCGGCCTCTGCCAGAAGTTGCTGCTCAGGCTGCCCCAAGCCCTGCAGGTCTCCGGTTTTGATCTCGCAGCTCTCCTCGTACTTGGAGTAAAGCGGATCCGGGCAGGAGAAATCCATAACGTTGAGCATCTTCCCTGGAGACGCGGCCGGAGCGGGGGGGCAGGGCTGGGACGAGCCGGGGATGCTCGGCGAGAGCCGGGGGCGCTCGGGATGAGCCGGGGACTGCCCAGGGACAGCCGCTGGATGCTCAGGGGCGATGCTCGCGGCGAGCCCGGGGTGAGCTGGGAACGCCCGGGGCGCCCGCACGGATCCGAGCGACGCTCGGGGATGAGCCGGGCCAGGCTCGGCGAGCCCGGGGCGGTGCGGGGGTGCCGGGGCGGGGGCCGGGGACCCCGCGGTGATGCCGGGGGTGCTTGGGGCGGTGCGGGGGTGCCGGGGCGGGGGCCGGGGACCCCGCGGTGATGCCGGGGGTGCTTGGGGC